TTGAGCACACACATATCTAACAATTATGAAATAAGATATTTTTAATTCTTTGGCTATTTGCAGCACATCAGTGGCCTGTGACAGTCAACTGGTGGAGTAAGTGTGTGAGAGCCGTGCTTCGGCACGAACGGGCCGGCTCAACCGGAGTGATACCACGGCCTCACAGAAAACAGACGTGAAACAACACTTGCGTTGTGTTTCGTCGTGTGAGTGAGGTTACCGGAGGCCCCCTTTCTCAGTCTCCCCAATCCCCGAATCCCCCACAATCCTCAAACTCCCATCCATCCATAATTCCCAAAAGGCTGGTAACGCACTTGTAACGCCTCTGGTGTTTCGGGTGTCCATGGGCGACGTCGATTGCTTACCATCAGGTGAACCGACTGCCTGTTTACCGGCTTATCTCATAAAAAAAATATGGGTCACTTATACATCAAAGTTGTTCCCTATAATAATCTCCACGTATGGGGAGCGGGCTTGGAGTTCGCAGTTTAAAAGGTTCAGGTTTATAAGACAGCGCTGCTACCTGCTCTTTATTAAATGTGTAGTCCTTTAGTTGATCCTAATGAAAACCATGAAATCAGTAATTCTGGGCCGCCGTCACTACACGACATCATATTAATTTTATATATTTATTTACTGCCATATTGGCCAAGTGGTCGAAGGTGCGCGTGCGGGGCAAGGAGTTTCGGTTTCGATTTCCGGGTCTGGCAAAACATTACTGAGTTTAAAAAATATTAGTAGGTGCTGCTACTGATATTTTTTCTGGAGTCTGGAATTATGCCCTGTATATGGCAATAGACTCGACCCCTATTACGTGGGACTCATAAAATAAATAGTGAAAAGTGGAAGTATAGTGGCATTAAGTGACAAAATGTGCATGTATCCAAATGGGAAGTCTACCTTCCCATTCAGGGATAAAAAGCGTGATGATATTTATTAATAATTTTATATTTATGAATAACTCAGTCTATTTATGCAATTTCTAACAAAATATTAAGTAAAAGTTATTCACATAAGTCTAATATAAATAATAATTCACCGGTCATCGCCCTCGATGGGAGCGCATTCATTTTTTGCAAGAGATACATTCACTTGCACTTCAGTAATCGTCTGGTCTCGATGAAATGGCCAAATGACCACATTTGTACGTCTACACTGCCATGTAATTACTCTTAATTTTGAGTTTAATGGACAGCTACTGTGTGACGTCGTTTAATACAGTTTAGTTAGTTTAGTTTTAATTAGCTTGGTAATTTTAATTTTCTGTAGTCTTTTTTTCAGGGCGACAGCATTAAATTGCTTCTCCTGCCTTTGATGAGGTGAAAGAGTGTCAGACTCTTCTATTCAGACTCTCTGTTAGACTGCTTAAAACCACCGCGTTACCACTTAGGTTTGGGATCCTCGATAACCCACGAGGTCGACCATATTTTTTTGTAGTGATCTACAGACTACAAAAACCATCAGGTTTCCGCTATCGCTAGAGTAGTCTAATTAATATCTATTGACCCATAGAATATTTATATCATTCATTGATCACTCAATTTTTGTCAGTTGCGCTGGTTGAGTTAATAGGATCTAACAGCTCACTTTTCTTTTAAGGGGGGAAAATCATCTAATTACTGCTCCCGCCTGGGTGAGGCGGTAGCGAGTGTCAGACTCTTACTGACTATAAACCACCCCATTCTTACGAAACCTTCGAACCGGAGCCCCGGCAACTCGTTAAGTCTTCCGCGGCATCTAACAGCTCACTAGCGCCATCTCGCGAGCGTAAAATGGAAAACTCTGATTTATACCGTTTACCCAGTGTTTGGCTGTTCCCAATTCCCAAAATATGCAGATTAAACATAACTATCGAAAAGTGGATTTACAATCTCTTTTGGGAATAACCAGGTTATATTATAAAATCAAAAACCAAGTCGTGTGCGTACATAACTCGTTCATTTTATGCGTCCACTCCGAGGACTCACGTTTGCAATCACGTGGGTAAACATAGTGTTGCCAAAGATACCAGCCTTTATTACCATTATGCGTTTTCAATACTAACGCGAACTCTTCTGAAGTTGGTGGACAATGAGGACGGTTCTTGTATATATGTAGATATAATTTAAGTACAAGAAAAAGATTATATCTACATATAATTTAGGTCTGCATAATTATTTATTTTATATTAAATCCTGAAATGATAAATTGTAGTTAAAGTATACTTAATCATTAGTACGTAGTACTTGCATTAAATAACTAATATCTATTACTCATATAATTCTATTAAAATTCTATTAATTCATTTCAAAAATTAAAGTACAGTACCTAATAACCTAATTATATATAATATTAAAATTCTAACTCAAACTCTTAAAAAAAAAGTAGTTTTTAGAAGAAAATATAAATTTAATTAGATAAAACTTTAACTTCAGGTTAAAACCTCTAATGAAATTAAAGATACTGGTAGGTAACAACCTACTTTTCTTAGGTCTTGAAATTAAGTACATTTCCTTGTTCAAAATACATAAATGTTAAGGAATAACTGCAAGGCACGTATGCACGTCATAACTGGCGTTGTGTATAGAAACTGTGTGTAGAAAATATTTGTGATGCGCCTCATCACTCTAGGGGAAAACACTTTCCTACTTGACCGCAGAATCCTTCTGGGGTAGTGGTGCAAGTTATAAGCGAAATACCTTTTTTTATTTTGTGCCTAAACGTGTGCGAGAAATACATTTTGATTTTAAATTATACTCTTCTATTTTTAAATCATTTTATGTTTCGTTATTTATGTCTTTTTTGCAGATTGTAACGAAAGTATTAACAAACACAGACGTTATCTTCTATGAATACAGATACAGTGGACAGGTCAACCTATTGTTACTAACGATTTTTTTAAACTACATTTTAGGTATAAAGTTGAAAATCCAATAACAAAAAATTACACATTGGACTAGGTCGATGTGCTGGGCACTATACAAAATTCCCTCAATGACTTCCAGATCGGCTGGATGGAAGCATCTTGCTACCTTAGTTATCCCACCCCCAGTAAACAATGTAATGGTTGACTGGAGGTGGGCTAAGTAACACTTAGCGCCTGTTGTTCCGCCTCCATATAAATACCCGATAAAATCCCGTGATCGCCCGTGGTGGCCCATGGTGGCCAGTAAGTCGTGGTGGCCCGAATTTGTAAGACGCCCACTTCTCATTTACGAGGGTGCGGGGTCGAAACCTAACAACGGCAAGCACTAATGTGTCTTTTTCCGAGTTATATATACTTTCTAAGATTATTTAGACGCTGCTGACAAACGGTGAAGGAAAATCATCGTGAGGAAACCTGGGCTTATAATTCTTAATTATAAGTTTGAAATCGCCAACCCGCATTGGGCAAGCGGGGTGGTTAACGCTCACCTCCTTCTCCGTGTGAGAAGAGGCCTCTGGTCAGCAGAGGTTACTTATATGTTGATGATGATGATGATGATGATCATGATGTGAAACTCACGTGAAAGATAGTTTTAACCACGTTCTTAATTCTTTATCTGGTACGTCTAAATATTGTGTAACGAATCCTTAAAAGGAAAAATCTCCATTCACCTCTCGCTTGGACCACATACACATTTGCGTAATTCACACGGAAGCTTGGCACGTGTGACTGACATAATGATTAGCGCATTACTTTAACAAACACTGCATTGATATTTGAGTCATTGTAATCGATCTCTGCTGAATGCCATCTGGTAGTTTATTTAAGTACTAGTGACCCTACAGCTTCGCCTGGACAGAATTTAGAAGGTTTCTCTGATGTAAGTCAAAGTAAAGTTGTCAAAGTCAAAATAATTTATTTCAATTACATAAAAAAGGCTATTTTAAAACGTCAATAAAAAAATTAAAAGTGAAGCTATTTGCTCATTCCAAGGTGTAGATTCCTTCACAATACAATTCTTCAGTTACATAGTTTTGTTGTTTCGATTGTGTGAGAACAATGTAACACCAAAAAATTTTGTGATCAAGAGTCTATATTACTCCCTTTAAAAATAAGCTTTAAATTAGAGTAAAATCATATAAAAAAAATATTATGCTGCGCGACAAGGCTTTCAAACCTGAAAGACTTTTCAGCAGCTTTAAGGGGCTCATTTGGATTAAAAGATATAAAATGATATTCATATGAGAATTCAGACACGTAATTACAGTTAGTATCCAGTGAATTTATTCATGGTCTTCTATGACCATATAATGTAGGTAAATTAAAATTAATACTAAATGACAAATATTGTTTTTAGTCATGTGCTTCTTTCGAATCTTACAGAACGTCCACGTGCTGTTTGTATTGTTCTCGCAGTGTTGCGATATTTCAAGAGTAGCTGAAGATCAAAATATCATTATGACGTGACAGTTCTATTCACAAATAACAGATGGAGTTAGTGTAGTGTTTTGACATTAATAACTAAGTTATCACGGTCGCTACTCTTAAGTTTAAAATACGTATGAAACAGAGGAAAAAATATTAATTTTAAAACAATTAATAATCATTTAAGTCTTAATTTAATATTTTTTATTGCAGTTATGACCATATATTATAAGTAAAACCTTGAGCCTGCAATTAATCTGGCAACGAAATTTACATTAATTATACAAAGATGTAACATTAAAAATATTGTTTTTAATAAATATAAATAATACAAAAACACAATTTTAAAAATAAAAAGAACATTTCACCTAAATTAACTAAAATCGCGGGTTACTCACTTGAATATACTGAGAAAAGCTCTACTAGTTTCGAACCACAGAGGGGTTCTTCCTCATGAGCAGCGTGCGCGGTCGCGGCGACGTCGCGAAGCTCACGGCATTGCACATTGCAACATTTCACCTTTATTTATTCCGTGTCTCCCAATCCTCATATCCTGTTATTCTCACCAGTTTTTTGGTCTCTTCCCACATATTCCTAGACAACATTGTATCATTTGCGAACCAAGAACTGTAAAACTCATGGCAATCTCTAAAATGTTTTCCACTTTCACCTTCAAACTTTGGGTCTACAGCCAGAAACACAGCCATAGTCGCAACCCTTGGTAGTGGTCTTCCAAACTTCAACAACGCAGAATTCAACACGTTCTTTATTAATACATTGTCAAAGTTCCTAAAGAACTCTGACTTTCCTAATCCAGGGTCCATGCTGTACACACTCACTCCACTACCTCTGATCCTCTTCTCCATTTCCACCGTAAACAGTACATCAGCTAACTTCGCATTACAATAGTACCCAAAATTAGAGTACTGTCCCACATCGTTCCAATGTTCCAAGTCTATAGTTCCTAAGATCAGTGCCAATGAGGAGACGTTGACTACTCGACTTGGTGCTGATATTCTCAAAAGTGGAAACAGCAGGAATGTCAGCAGAAATGATCCGAAGTAGTTAACTTGCATCATCAGCTGTAAACCGTCTTCTGTCAGTCTGTCATCTAAGCCAATAGCTCCGATATTGTTGATGAGCATGTCCAGTCGTGGTTCTGTCTTTAAAGTTGTATCAGCGAAGTTTCTGACTGAGGAGAGGGATTCGAAGTCCATGTGTCTGGTGACGACATTCTGGTTTCCGGAATCCTGGATAATGGTATTTCTTGCATCTGCCAGTTTACTTGGGTTTCGGCTCGCGATGATGACTTTAGCGCCTCTCCTGGCTAAGTTCTTTGCTATCTCTAGTCCGGTTCCAGCAGTTGCTCCAGTGACCAGCGCCACTTTCCCATCGAGTCGGACATTGGTCTCACAATCCGTGAAATCATCTTTTACAGACATTATTCTCAATTATGTGTCTACTTCGTCAGGAAGTTTTGTTACTACTGAGCAATACAGGTTGCAAACGTTAATGTAGCGAGGTCGACCGACCTCAAGGTTCTCATAACAGTGTCTAACAATATTATGATACATTATGAACAATTTATTAGATGGAACCTGTTTCTAAGTTTATCAAGATTTATGACAACAGATCGCGTAACAGGTAAAAGGTGTGACCTCAATGTTAGAAAGAAAGAAAACCATTTATTTCTGCGCAGAACACACATAGACTTAACATGGACAAAAAAGTAAAATATAATAGGAAGCGAAGGTAAACATTAAATAATATAAAACTCAAAAACTTAATGTTCATTAACACGTTGCGGAGAACCTAACGGGTAACCGGGGCGCCGGCTCGACGTGCAGGAGAAGGAACGGGGTGGTTTTTAGTCAGTAAGAGTCTGACACTCCCTCCCGCCTCACCCAGGCGGGAGCAGACATTCGATGATTTTCCCCTTAAAAAAAATGTTCATTAACATGTAGCAATATACTTACATAAATCTCTACATATTATAAAACAAAGTCCCCCCCGCGTTTGTCTGTCAGTTCGTTTGAGATAAACTTGAAAAGTACGAGTCTGATTGTCATACAATTTTCAACAACACGGAGAGTGTGCAAACTGACGATACAACCACGATATAAGTACGCGAATGAATATCATTTTAGTACTTAATGACGTGCCAAACGTCAAATAGTACTTGATTTGAAATTTCCATGGAAGTTTCTTTAGAGATATGGTAGTAATTATTTCGTAAAAAATTAAATTACCAAATAAATTATAGTTAGCATAATTTTTAGTCCTTAATAACTTTAAGATATAAGGTTAAAAATAAATACCTATGTAACTACAACTTAAAATACATTAAAACTAAAATAGAGAAAACAAGTTAGCATAATATTTTAAAGAAAAGTAATTGGTAGTTGATAATAAAGTAAAGGATTACATAAATATGAATTAATTGAGCGCCTTAAGAATTCTAGTAGCAAGGAATACTACATTACGGGAATGCTATTGGAATTTAGCAAGGCACGATGAGCTTCAGTGAGTATGCTGAGCTATTGACACCGGCATAGCACTAAGCCGGTTTTTATTTAACACCGATGCCATTGAAATACTTTGTAAACTTTCGAAGGCCTTTAAAAGCATTGAATAAACGAGCACGAGACACTATGGCTGAAACTGGAACATTACGACACTCGGGAGTATCTCTAAATCTATTTAAGATGTCTATCCTGAAAGTAGTTCAGGATAGCCATCAGTCTGTCTATATGTTCACGCATCACGCAAAAACTACTGGTCCGATTATGGTGAAACTTGGTAGAATTATATTTAAATAACCTAGGCACAACACTGGGTACTTTTTATTCCGTAAAAGTGTTTTAGAAGCTGAAGGAACCGGGATGACATTTGTAAGAGAGAGGTGAACTATGGTCTGGAGTAACACATAGACACCTTTTAATCCCTAGGCACGCAGCCAAAGCCACTGGCAGTAGCTAGTATAAATTAATCAATTATAAATGACCTGCAGATGTCTCCAACATATGTACCTACCTACATAAACACCCACAACACCAGAAGAGTTACTAACCTACTAAGAGGGATAAATAAATAAATAACAGGAATATTGCTTCATTGGCATCTGTGACCTTATGTATATTTGCTTCGTATTGCTATTGAAATAGGTAACGGATAATGCACCGATATTGTCAATTTTGTGTTCCAAATTTTAGAGATCAGTAATATGTATCTACCTTCATAAAACTGCTTAGAAAACTACAAGATGCCATTATTTTCAATGACCAATTGTAACGTCATGAGTATCATTTTCGACGGAGTTACAACTGATTTTGCTTAGGTAGTTAATTATTGTATAGTGTAAAAATTAAACATAAAAATATGACAAGAGAGACGAACTTAAGTATAAAATACCCATCGATATTAAAAAAACAAATATAACTAACTAACGAGAGAGTAAACAAAAAATTCACATCTGAGGCAATATTTAAACTACCAATTAATTTCCATATAAATTGTGGAGTCAATTAAAATGTTAAATATGAGTACTTTTTGTAATTTAAGCGGTATTGTCTCCTGCGAAGTCGGGAAAAGATGTCTCTTGCTAATATCGTTATAGTTTTCTTGTGTGTAGGCTTTAGCTATGGAGACGTCTACGACTGTTATACGGGTGACCTTGTATCTGCAGAACGATTGAGTTTCTATGAAGAAGAAGGTGTAACTGAGTAAATGAAGATTATTTCCTACTGTAGTGGTCAACCACTTAACGCTATTCCAGGCAAAAATAAAGACATTGAAGTGTGGGAGAATGGGAGAGCCATGATTCGGCCGGCTCGACCGGAGGGATATTATGACCTCAAAGAAAACCGACGTAAAACAACTCAAATTCCGATAATGCATTTGTAACGCCTTTGGTGTTCCAGGTGTCCATGGGCGACGCTGATTCCTTACCATTAGATGATCGGCCTACTCGTTTACCGGCTTAATTCTTAAAAAATACTTCTTTTTTCTGACAATTTATCCCAATATTTTTCTCTTTGAACGAGATCCTTGGTTAAATGTCGTTGTCAAGTTTTGAAAGTTACTGGTCACCTACCTTACCATCTGTATCTTCTGTAAATCTTGTCTATTAACGCATTAAATCTTCATAAATCCTCTACTGAACATGCTACATATCCAGACTCCGATGCATATTCGTTAAATAAGAAATTTACCATTACTTCAAATACAAACGTAAATAATATCATTGCAGCACTTGTACTGTCGACATTCAACCTTGCTCTGCAGATGAACCAAGGAGAGTTGATGGATCATGTGATCATCATCATCGTCATCGTCATCGTGTAAGTCTGAAGAACCCTGCGAAGGGTACTTATTTTTCACCCATGAAAAGAGTACTGCCTGCAAATTATCATAATGGTTAGTATTATAAAACATTTATCGTTATCACTTAATTACACAATTTCTAAGCTGTCAATTTATACTGAAAGCTTTTTGGAAACCGCATAAGATGTTCTCCAAGTTATAAAACGGGAGAATCATTCGACCAGGTTAAGTGATCATGGCTGGTTGTCTAATGCTCAATATTTGAATATAGGATGACAATAAGCTATCTACGCGATATAGAACTCTTGACTTCATGTGTTGATTCTTGTCAACAAACCTTGTCAAAAAAAAAAAAAAGTTCTGCCTGCACGGTTGGTGCGGTGGCTGGGCAACCGGCTGCCGTGCAACGTGTCGCGGGTTCGATTCCCGCACGGAACAACACTTTGTGTGGTCCACAAATTGTTGTTTCTGGTCTGGGTGTCATTGTGTATGTGAACTTGTATGTTTGTAAACGCACCCACGACACAGGAGAAAATCCTAATGTGGGGCAACGTTTTTTTTAATAAGAGAAAAAAAAATTCTATTATTTTCAGGTTCCTTCTCAAGACTTGCACAATCCGGTGCTGAACTGCCTCTGGCTAGAACGGTCCGTCTGAACGTGCTTAAAGAGGGAAAATCACCCAATTTGATTTTCAATCATCACTTGACGGGCTTCGGAATATTCTCATTCAGTGATGTTGGATCAGTTCACAATATTGGTAAGCAGACCTTATTTTCAAGTCAAGATGATTAGGTATAAACAGCTCTTTTTAAATTTATTCTATATTTTTAGAAAACATGTTACTTAGGACCACATACTGCTGTGAGGAAGAACATTGGAATGACTACGAATGTACGCCGAACCTGTTGACTGCTGATGACCCTGTGCACAAGTTCTCAGGCATCAAATGCATGAACAGCACAAGACCTCTCACTTACCGGGACTACAAGTGCACTGACGACGCGGAATCTGCTAATGTAAGTAAAATAAAACTTAACAAACTGGTAATTTGCTCCTGATTTTGGATTCAATTCTAGTTAATTGACAATGTGATTGAAGAGGAAGGTATATAGAACATATAATGTTCTGTGATGTGTAATAACTTCGAATTGACTATGTTTGAAGCCGCGGGCGAATGCTAGTACTAAAATAAAGAATAAGAATAGGTGTTTGGAATTAAAATATAAACGTGTTTAATTATTTGTATCCTCATCTGCCTTTCTTATGCTGTAGCATTCGACTCATACATTTATTTGTCGACAGTTGAAAAAAGCCACTTCACCCTTCGATTTGTCCCAAATATACAATGCATACAACAAGGGTGACCAAGTGATCAGATCTTTTGTCAAAGGACAATTGACAGTAGAAGAAGGTGATGGCCACATTTACCCACCAAGCAGTCCAGAAGCACTTTGTCCACTCAATTCAGGCAATGAAACCAGATGTTTCAAAAACTGTAAGTCAATTATAACAAATTACAGCTTTCATACTTAATAATATAATAATATAGCCTTTTATTCAGAGTCTTAACTTACATTACGTTACACTTACATTTAAAAGCAACTTAAAGTTAAAAATTAATCTATTATTTGGTGATCATTTGCAGATCTGTTTGCCAATCGGCAAAGGCCTCCTCCAACCTTTTCCATTCTGTCCTTACTTGAGCCACTCTGTTCCACGTCGCACCTGCCACCTCTTTGATGTCATCATCCCATCGTTTCTGCGGTCTCCCTCTCTTCCTTTTCCCTTCCCTTGGGCACTATACTGTGACTTTCTTACTCCATTTATCGTGATCTTACTTATTATAAATATATAAATATATCTTTCATACTTACTTATTGAAATACATAAATGATTTGTCTTTGACTTTTTTGCAGACATTAACAATTTGACGCCGATCACCCTTTACGTGATCTGGTTTGTGCGTCACCACAACTTCTTGGCCAGCAAGCTAGCTGAACTCAACCCATGCTGGAGTGACGAGAAATTATTTAATGTTGCTAGAAACATGAACATTGCTTATTACCAACAAGTGATGTTGTACGAATGGTTGTCAGCACTAGAAGGTACAGTTCTGAAAAGTGGTACTGAGATACATTTATTTGAGTGTAAAATGTACTAATATTGAATGTATTATATAATCAGGTCGCAGTAATCTCATTAAGGCTGGTATTATAAACAAGTACGACGGATTCAGAGACTTGTACGATGAGGACGAGGATCCTGAAGTGACATTGGAATTTACTTTCTGCTTGCGGTGGTTCCATTTGATGCAGTCTATTACTGCTAAGTATGTAAAGGTTCTGATTAAGTTTCATAATTTTATAATGTTAAATGGGAACAGCAGATTGTTCTGACTAAACTAACTTTTGATCATTTGGTTACTCCAAATCATGGCCTCAAATATCAAAGATCTTATACTTATGTATATAAGATACTTATATTATATCTTAATATAAGGTCTTCATTTCACTTAACCCTTCTGGTATTGTGGGTGTCAATTGTTCACTATGGTCCATTTGCTCACCATTCTATTCCATAAACAGGTAATATTATTTCTTTATATTTAATTTAATTCTAGGTTCTACGACAGGTATGGTAATTATATCAAGGATTACCCACTACTGAAGACTACATTCCGTACTGGATTCCTTGCACAAGGTGATAATATTGAGTACTTTACCCAGAGTATGATGAGAGATGGATGCCGTGCTTATGATAGCTCCATTGAACATGACGTAAGTTTTTCTTTTTCAACACGCTTTTATTAGGTCGAAAACATGTAACGAAGTAATCAATCAAACCTAAGAATCTTACATGTCCTTTTAATTGCTGTATTATCATTCAATTTAGCAAGTACGTGTAGTTGTGATGACCATACAAAATTATGGCATCATCAAGCTGGTTTGATGAAGAAATCTACTAAACATACGAGTTTAGGTTCATTAGAGATGTGCATTTCTCCCGAATCCTAATGATGAGGACATATGGTTAAAGTTTGGTTTTAGTTTTTAACTATTATATGTCTTTTTACACTTCCCTATACAAGACAGTTGATTTAACAGTTAACAATTTGCTTGGGGGTGCAATAATTGCGTTATACGTTCATACAGGTTAAAGTTTCTTCAATTTTTATCATCTTCTCGACTACATTTCTTTGAACCATGCATTGTGATTAATGCTTATTACTTCTCCATGCAAGAAGAGGTCTTTGCCCAGCAGTAGGCTGTTCTACAGCCTGTAACTGTTTATAGGCTGATATTGATGTTTGGGTTTACGCTGATCAGATATTACAATAATACTTGTTTCTAGTTTGCCAATGACGCCTTGCCTGGTGTGCAAAGGAGCCTTGACGTCGCAGCTGGAGATATAAATAAAGGTCGCAATCTTGGAGTGGCTCCTTACGTCGACTATGTGAAACACTTCACAGGCATTGAAATCAATTGCTTCGACGATTTGGCTGCTTTCATACCAGTAGCTGTGAGTATTTAAATTTTATCACCGTAATGTTTGGACCATTTCAATAACTGATTACTAATTGTCGTCGTTTCAACCAACAGTAGATGTACTTAAAGACTATCTTCAGTACGTATTTGTATAGTTATCGATCTATTGTATATTTCAGAAAATTGAAGTGTTGAAAAGTTTGTTCGGAGATGTGAAAGACATAGACTTAATAGTTGGTCTCTGGGTAGAGGAGCCGATGAAAGGGGGTCACATTCCTCTCACCTTCGCCAATATCATTAATGATAATATGATGAGGTCTTTGAAGAGTGACAGACATTGGTTCGAGAGATTAAACAGGCCTGATGCCTTTACTCGGGGTAAGTTTACGTCTGTTTGATGGTACTGAAGGTCATCAGGTTCAATTTATAACCCGATCTCCAATTCCCAAATTTCTCTCAAACATACAAAAGGTTGGCAATTAACATATTTGTAAATACCCTGGTTTTGGATAACATCCATTGGCAGTGGTGTGCTGGATGCTACCGCCAGGTCCATCTATTACAATTCTATAAAAAATGCTTCACAGCCATGAAATAACAATTTCAAGTTTTTTGTTATATTTAACTAACGCTCGAATATTGAAATGATTCTTAATTTCTAAGTCGCACTTAAATATCATGCTATCTCTGTCATTTTATGAAGAATTTGTAGAGACAGTACTATTCTTGAGAACTTGAGAGCGTTTTAGAATGAGTGGCGTTTAAGTATTGTAGCTTAAGCCATTATGATTGAATTGAAAAATAAAAAAGAAAAAGACAATGTATAATTTATTTTCTTTCGGTTATTTGTTACAGCTCAACTTAAGGAGATCAGGAAAGCTTCAATAGCTCGTTTATTGTGTGATGTAGGTGATGGCATCTCCGAAGTGCCCAGAAACGCCATCTACAACATTTCTCCTGAGTAAGATTTGGAGGATTATTAATTTAAATAATCACTTCAATCAAGGACGTTGAAAAAAAGGCGGACACAATCTCTTGAAACAACGACTGTGGCGCCTGGCTACTATAGACTTACACGAAGGACATCCGTCGCGTGACATGGCCCGTCAAGTTAGCAACCCGTTCTTTACTCGATTGAACAGAATAGTTAATTCGCTTTTCTATTAAAATATTTACCCGTGTGTACGAGAACGCGCGATTACCGGTGTGTACGAGAAGCGCGCGAGAGGTTACACTTCATACATTATGGTGTTGCACATAAATACACAACTGACATTTTGGTTCTTCATTTCTAAGTGACGTTACGTCCAGCTTTCTTTTAACGTCCTTGACCTCAATAATAAATTTGTAGGCATGGTCGTGGTTGGAGGTTTAAGACGCCCGCTTCTCATGCATGAGGCTTCGAAACCCGGTACCAATGTGACTTTTTCAGAGTTATTATGTACTTTCTAAGATTATCTAGACACCACTGACAAACGGTGAAGGAAAACATCGTAAGGAAACCAGGGCTTATAATTTCTAATTATAAGTTTGTAATCGCCAACCCGCGTTGAGCAAGCGTGGTGATTAATACTCAAATCTTCTCCGTGTAAGAAGAGGCTCTGCTCAGCTGTGGGCATTTATAGGCTGTTGACGACGACGAGTCAAGGACAAACAATTTTCAATCCTTCTAATTCTTTTAATTTTTGTTTCAGGAACCCACTGGTGAGTTGTGACAAAATTAAAGGCATCAACTTCAGTGCCTGGGCCGACAACACTAGTAAGAGCAGTTAAATAAAGTAGCTTTCGAATGGTCAGATAAATCCAATATTTTTTTGTTTTATTGTTGTGGTTTTGTTCCTCACACTTATTCATTTATTAGTTATTTTTTATCTTTTCAATAAAGTTGTTATTCAAGACAATCCCTTTGTTTTTTTATTGTATTATGACCTTTTAAGGAATAGTCTACTTATATATACTCCGTCCGACTCCGCAGGGTAGGAATAATCACCTGATGTTTTTTTCTTACAAAAAGAAATCTTTGTTCTTGGTAAGCGGACGGGTTACCCCAGCTTTAAAATTATTCATTTTTATTTATTTATTAACTCATCTATATATATAAAAATGAAACCCGTTTTACATTGTCACGGCATCACGCGTGAATGGCTGAACCGATTTCACTAATTTATTTTTTGTTGTATTTGTTATTATTAGAAGAAGGTTCTTAAGACAGAAAAAATCCTAAAAATCCTACGGGAACGGGAGAAAACGGGATTGCGCGTACGAAGTCGCGGGTAGAAACTAGTAACATATAAATATCCTTACAGGGTTAATGTGGCAAAGGCATAACATGTGTGATGTCAACAATATTTAATTATGGCTAGCTTCTGCCCGTGTCTTAGCCAGCGCTCGCGTGCGATAAAAAGCCTATTTGTTATTCCAGACCATACTGTATCTATCAATGTTCCAAACAAACTGATATCTTTAGTATGATTGTGTAACCATACACACAAACGCACATTTTTTCGCATTAATTTTTTATTTAGTTACATTTATATAAAATAAATAAAAAAATAAAATAAAATAAATTTATTTCAGACATATTGGGTCCATACATTTACAGTTTATTATTATATATTCCTAATTAATTTAATTTAATTTATTTACATTATAACACCGCATTATCAATTATTCGTTCTATTATATTTTCAATTTAATCAATGTCAATTTAGGTAAAAAAATAAAAAAATATCATCACATCCACACAAATATAAATAAGACATGAAAAACAACATTATTTCATTTCTTTTCTTTTAACCATAGAATTATCTTAAGTATTTGCCTCCCTTTGAGGCACCGGTCACGCACACTTGAGTTTGAACCCAGTGCCTCATAAGGGGGCTATCCATTTTTTGGCTGAGCTCGCTCAAGATGGTGTTGGCGCTCCCACGCGTACGGAACATCAGCGAGGCGATGCGGCGCCGTAGCACCGCGTGAAAGCCGTCAGTGCGCGCGTGCGCAAACATCGCAGACGCACTACAGCAGCGCGGGAGCCCCACCAGCACCCTAAACGCGTTATTATATTGTACACGGAGAGCGTTGATGGCCCGGTGCGTGTAGCTGACCCACAGATTGCAGGTGTAGAGAGTTTGGCAGAATGCTTTAAACAACGTGATCTTTACCCCAAGACTACACCCCGCAAATCTGCGTGCCAACATATTACAGCGGACCGCCATCGCCCTCCTCTCCCTTTCTATGTCCCTATCGTCTTTTAAATCCTTCACTCTTTGAAGAGCGACAGAGTTAAGCAGTACAGGTGCCACATCCCCCAGTTTACGACCCCTGGCCTGAAATACCATGAGCTCACTTTTCTGCTCATTGTATAGGAGACCGTGCACTCTCGCATACTTCTCACACACACCTATCAGCTTTCTGAGCGCGGCTACTGATGGGCTGAGCAACACCATATCGTCTGCGTAGCTTATACTATTGATACAGCGACCATCGATCGAGCATCCCACTCCGATGTTGCTCAGCTCAACAATCAGCCCGTTTACGTACAATTTGAAGAGTGTAGGAGACGTCAACCCCCCCTGTCTCACTCCACACTCCAACCTGTACTCATCAGAAAGCTCATCAAGCCATTTGACCTGGTTAGTCTGGTGATCATACCAATATTTAAACATATTAATTATCTCGCCTGGCACACCTGAGTACTTCAATTTATGCCAGAGTATATCATACCTAACCAGGTCAAAAGCCCTGGAGAGATCAAGAAAGGCTGCATAAACAGGCGTGCTCCTGTCTGTGTAATACCTGACAGTCTGCTTGAGAGACATAACTGCGCATTCTGTCGAAAGTCCTGGTCTAAAACCGAACTGTGCGATATCATTATATATTTATTAGTAAGATTACGCAACATTAAGAATTATTATTGTAAAGATATAATGAAGTAGTCTAGGCATATGGATATTAATTTATTACTATCAAAGCAAGAACAAGATAATGATGATTACAAACCGAAAATAAAACTATAGTTACATGAATACAAACATTAATGGGACAAACAAGTCTTTGATTTTATAATTTCCTGGTAACATAGTATTTCCTCCTTATATAAGATGTAAATAATGCTTGATTACTTATGTTCTGTGTGTTATAGTTATTTAACCAAACTATGTATTGTTCCCTTTTTGGGCTTTAGTATAATGCATCCTGACTAGGATAGACTTAATTTCAGTTGGTTCAAATTACACATTTCATCCATAACACTCATAGTACAATTACCCGGAACAATAAAGAGGATCATAATATATACACAAACTTACACATGTATGTCTCATACGGGAGTCGAACTGACGTCGTTCTCCCATACACTGCATTGACCATGAAACAAATTAAAATTCAAGAGGCGTTTGATAACAAGTATCAAACTATTAATGTCACTAAATACAATACTGACTGGCGATTTGGTCGAATTGCTAATATTCTATCTGGGTACTCACATTATAGATTATACATTTTTAAATTCACTACAATCACTTTAAAATCCTTTTACACTATCGTTGACTTCCCAGTCTTCATCCTTGTTTATCTTCACAGCTTTCTTCGACTCTTCCCACAAGCGTTTCGTCAACTGATGATCATTCACCAACTAATGATTCTTGAACTGATGACAGAATTTGTACAGATTCCCACTGACCCCTTCCAACTCTGGTGCAGCCGGTAGGTATGCTATCTCACGACCAACGTCCTCTTTCCTCTGTCCAATTATGTTTATAAAGAATTTGGAAACATGCTGAATAACCCCCGGAATATTAGCCAATATGCTCGTGTCTCGCACCACAAAAGGATCGTAAGCATTTGCAGTCACTCCTGTATGCTGTAGCCTTCTGTCCAGCTCCGCATTAAACAAAGCAACTGCCAATTTCGAACTCCCCAATGCCGTTATTATATCATATCGTCCAATGTCATTCCAGTGATCAAAATTTATTTCACCAAAATACATTGCTCCTCCAATACCGTTTACGATCCTACTCGGAGCTGACGCTTTCAACTTAGGCAGCAATAGGAACGTAAGCAAGAACGCCCCAAAGTAATTCACTTGCATTGTAAGATTTAAGTCATCAGCTGTCAGTTTGTCTGGAAGTCCTACTGCTCCTGCGTTGTTAATCAACACATTTATTTGATCTTCAGCATTCAATTCACTCGCCAAATTCCTCACTGATTTAAGAGATCCCAAATCAACAGTTTTGTATGCAACATTGTGATTACCGGTTGTTTCTATGATATGGTGTTGGGCTGCTTTCAGTTTGGTTTCGTTTCTGCTCGCGATAATGACTCGGGCTCCACGACTTGCTAGATTTTTAGCAGCTTCGAAGCCCATTCCTGAGCTTCCACCAGTCACCACAATCACTTTACCATTTAATTTAGCCGTAGTATCACACGTCATGATCAGAACATTACGCTCTGAACTTCATAAACAAACTAAAACATAAAGGAAAAACACAGTAAACTACGTGCGTCAGCCTACATTACAATATTATTTTTAATTCAAGATGGAGGGTCCTGAATAACAACGAGATCTCGATTGATTTCCGCATTTGCTATGACTGATGATAAAAACGTCGTACTTTGATCTTTTATATGTATGTACGTTAACCAAGTAATTCAGAATCTGAGTATTTGAAGTAGCATCATAACTATATGCCAATAAATAAGTCATGTTTCATCGTAATCAAAAGTAAGTTTTAATAAATTGAATTCTTTATAATTTTGGTTTGCCTTTAAATCACAAATTTTTCGTGAAATTGTCACTCGATGTGAGATTCTGTAGTTAAACCAAAAACCAGATTTAACGAAAGTGGCGTAATAAAAGCATTTCTTGTTTTAAAAGAGACTGCATTTATTGGTGCAACTTTTACGACGTTAAATATCACAGTACAATTAACTCGTGCAGAGTAATTCAACAAGAAGCAACATTATTACGAATTATAGAAAATGTAGAACAAAAGATACTTTTTAGATTACATTGATTACAAAGATACATATAAGATTTCTGGACCAGTTAAAAATCTGCTAATGACTTTGGATATTTTTCAAGTGATTACCAACCATTAAATTACTGATGGTCTAAATGATCACACGTCAAGATCAACAATCGAAGACCTATCAATTATTTAGGATGTTAATGACCAATCCGTAGTTACAGAATCCCTAAGTCTTACCTACCTCAGGAGATTAACAAATACTGCATGTACTACTGCATCGAATGCCTTGGCAAAATCTAACACTGTTACATAGCCTGCTGAGCTCTCAGCACAGCTGAATTCTTTAAGAAACTTTGAAACTGTTGTATTGAAATATAGCATCACGCTTTTTATGCCCGAAGAGGTAAGTAGAGGTGCACATTACGGCACTTAATGCCACTGTAGAATGTAACACCCATTTTTCACTATATATGGGGAAAAATCTACTTTATTATAATTACGAGAGAACAAAACAAAAACAATAAGTTGATGATTCAATGGCTTTAATTGAAACAAGTTTAAAGTTTTAATGATAGACATACATATTTGTGGGACAATTCAGATTTATAATGTAAATGAAGCTTAGTTACTACTAGTATAAGTTCCATTTAAGTTTGTGCGTTCATAAATACATATTTTATATCCATCGTACAATGACCCGGAACAAAAAAAATAAACATAAGCACATATTGTGGCTCGTGCAGGAATTGATCCTCCGATACCGTTCACTCAACCACTGCACTGACCATGAAGTGAATTCAACAGGTATTTTATTACCTGCAGTTATTTATAAAGTAAATGGAGTCGGTCTGTCCGCATTCAGCAGTTACCGCGCTTCGATTTATAAAGATGGCAAGATAAAGACAAGAGGACTCAACGTTTCAAAAAAATACTGATCAGAGCAATGAAATTTGAATCAAAGCACAGAGGAAATAAGTTGGTCGCCTGCTTCCAGTGGTTGCACTTCTAGATTACAATATGCGCAAGTCACATTAGAGACTTAATCTAAAGCATTTTGAAATATACCATCACCGCTTAGATTATAATATGTAGTGGGACATTTATAAATTGAACACAATCACTTAGAATCATGATGTTCCCAGTCTTCATACTTCGTTATCTTCACAGCTTTCTTCGACTCTTCCCATAAGCGCTTCGTCAAATGCCGATCATTCACCAACCAATGATTTTTGAATTTGTGACAAAACTTGTACAAATTTCCACTAACACCTTCCAATTCTGGGGCAGACGCTAAATACGCTATCTCACGACCAGCATCTTCCCTGCTCTGTCCAACGACATTAATAAACAATTTGGAAATCTTCTTAACAATCCCTGAAAGATTTTGCAGGATATCAGTGTCTCGTACCACAAATGGATCATAAGCATTAGCAGTCACTCCATCATACCTTAACTTCCTACTTAATTCTTCATTGAACAAATTAATTGCCAATTCCGATGATCCCAGTGCTTTTACTATATCATATCTTCCAACGTCGTTCCAGTGATCAAAGTTAATTTCACCAAAATACATTGCTGCTCCAACTCCGTTAAGGATCCTACTCGGAGCTGACGCTTTTAACTTAGGCAGCAATAGGAACGTAAGCAAGAAAGTTCCAAAGTAATTCACTTGCATATTGAGATTCAAGTGATCAGGTGTCATTCTGTCTGGAAGTCCTACTGCTCCTGCGTTGTTTATCAACACATTTATTTGATCTTCAGCATTCAATTCACTCGCCAAGTTCCTCACTGATTTAAGAGATCCCAAATCAACAGTTTTGTACTCAACATTGTAATTACCGGTTGCTTCTATGATATGGTGTTGGGCTGCTTTCAGTTTCGTTTCGTTTCTGCTCGTGATAATGACTCTGGCTCCATGACTTGCTAAATTTTTAGCAGCTGCAAAGCCCATTCCTGAACTTCCACCTGTCACCACAATTACTTTACCATGTAAATTAGTTGTAGTATCACACGTCATGATCAGAACGTTACACACTGAAGTTGATAATCAAACTAAAGACAAGAAGAAAATGCATAAACTTACGTACCTGCGTCAGGATACAGTTTAGTTTTATTTTTAATTCATGGTCCTGAATGCAATAACAATGAGATCTCGATTGATTTACGCGTTTTTTGCGATGACAAAAACAAGGTCGATCTTTCATCATAATAGGCGTAAAATCGAATGATTTAGAATCGTAGTGTATACGCAGTATGCTAATTAATGTTACCTAAAGTCATATTTCATCGTTGTCAATTTTTTGTTTCATTAATTTCTTAGAAGTTGTCATTCGTGTAATGTGTATCACATGTTTTTCACTGCATTGTCACTTGATATGAGTTTCAATAGTACCTAAACCAAAAACCAGATCCTTTTAATAATCGTTACTTTAATGTATTATACTTGTTTAAAAAGGTTGCATTTGCATTGATGATATTTTTAGCGTAAACCATTGAACAATTTTTATTATAGAATCTTAACAACAATAAAAAATATCTGCCTAAAGGGTGGTGCGAAGTCAATAACAAGAATAATAAAACTAGGTATTATTAAATTAAAGTTACAAAAGGTATACCTCTAATGTTGACCGGTTTGGGATAGGATCTAGGATACCTAATATAAGGATCAATATAATGTACAAAACACACAGAACAAACAATTTTCTGCACTAAATGTCACAAAACAAAACGATTTTTCTCGAACAGTTAAATATTGTACTTAATGACTTTGGATGTTTTTCAACTGATTACTATCACTGATGGACTAAAAAAGACTTTGAGCTTCATTTATAAAGGCATAACGAGATCAAACCAGCGGTTAATGACTGTCATTGATGTCTCCATTAGTGAATTTTGAGTTGCTAAACGATCACGTATCATAATCACTAAATCCAGGACTTTTACATCAATTTTTAATGTCATATATGAAAGTTTACAACAAACTATAGATAGGCCAAGAACAAAGACTAATATGAATAACATTAATAAATATTTGACTCGTCTATTTTTGATTGTGTATATTATATTAATGCTAGTGTTTGGTTATTGGGCGTCCGTAAGTATTATTGCTTTTATCATTTTTGTTTCTTGACATTTTTACACATCATGTTTGCTCCTATTTACCTAAGGGCAGAGACAATGGAACGAAAAATATTTTGATGATAGCTTATATGATTATACCTTTTGCATATTTGATGATACCTTTTGCTTCATCTACATTATATCAATTCATGCAAGGTCATACATGGTTTAAAGTTAAGCCTATTTGCGCCTCCGTTTCATTAAAAACTGAGATTGGTAACCTTAAAAATGTATTGCTTCGCAGGATGCCTACCGCCAAGAACGAGCTAAACTGATATATGCGAACCCAAAGTACATAAAGGATCCAGTAGTATTCACTGGTAGAAGAAACCGAAATTCTCCGTACCAAACCAACATGAGCTGCACAACATTGGTGCCTTTTGGAAATAATGTTAGCGTAAGTAAAACATTAAGCCTTTAACTGCCGACAAAAACTGTTGAAGGTTAATCAACCCGATGTATGTATTACTATACTCTTTTGGCTAATCCTCCGCTATTGTCGGTCATCATTGTCCGACACGACATCCAATGTGGTGGTTAACACTAAGTTATTCATAATTATAATTTGCTCGAACACTCTAGAATGTCATAGACCATCGAAATCCTATCACGGCCGTGGCTGTTCCACATGACCTACCTCTAATAGCAGCTGATATTTGCAGCTACAATTATGCTAATACTGAAATAACTAAAAATGCTGCAACATATATTTTTTTTTATGAACAAAAATTGGTTTAAATTTTACATCACTTGGAGAATTTTCAATTTGTTTATTGAGAGAAATAAAGATTTATACACAACAAATGTATAATGATGTAAAATAAAATAGGTACTTAAGTTGTAAAAAAGACTGTAGGACTATAATACATTGCTCGATTGGCGAAATAAATTGAAGATTTGAAAAGAGGCAAGACATTTGACATCATTTTATAATGCCAGAGGTCAAGTTTGAGTTAATAAAAACAATTTTCTTTATTTCAGTTTGCGACAACATTCACAATGGTATCAGGTGGAGATTTCCGCCTGGTCACAAAAGCATGTGACTGCAGTAAATCCAAGTGGATACACGACTTCATGCAATCGTATACAAACTTGACACTTAAAAAGTGCCCCTATCCTCCTGTAAGTATGTGATAGAAGACTAATAAAGGATAGCAAAAGATTTAGGGCACATACATCCTTGCCTAAGAAAGGTTTTCCTTAAAATATAAAACTTATCAGGAGAAATAACTAGACTAAATTAGGTATACATTCTATATTGAAAAAAATGGCTGTAGGTAAGGTACCAGCAATCAATTGGTAATGCATCTTCAACTCGTTTTATATAATAATAATTTACGCTTTTGAAAGCAACTAGCGTTATCTCGAAAAATATCTCTTTTATATTCAATGTGTTCTTTATTTCCAACAGTATCTGTATTTATGAATTAAATTTCTTCAATAACTCTCACACATTATTTTTACAGGGAAGATACGCGTATTACAACATAGAATTACCTCCAAAGAATATTCCCCTACCAATAGTTAAAGGTGACTACTGGATCAAGTTTGAGTTCATCGTGACTGATACGAAGGAGTCTATTGTAGAAGTCGACTCATTACTGCATTATGATCCGACAGCTAATGCCAAGAGATCGAAGGGAAAGAAGGGTTAAACAATAAACAATTAAAAGTATCTAGTTTTTTCTTTTTTACAACGTACTTTACCTCTATAATCGATATACTGCAGATGCTCTTCTAAATACTAAAACAAAACATCTTTTGCATCTTTAGTGGCATGCACTACCAAAAATGATGCTATGATGTACACATACCACATACAACGTGTCCTTTATTATTATTTCTGCACTACCCAAAGGTTGCCTGACAGAGAATGCTGTAATCGTGAAGTGAACTATGTGCATATGTATAAAGTAGGTAGGTACCTAGTAAATAAAAAATGAATGATGCAGACGCAGACACAATTATAATCGTAACCAGCCACAATAGACGAACTCAGTGTACCGAAACATATTTAAAACGAGGCATTTCATTATATTAAGCTATGTATTTAATCAGGTAATTTCAACTACAATATAAACTTACCTATGATGTTAATCATAGGGATATTAAAACGGCACTACCATTTCATTTATCAATATTATGTGGACAGTGAAATCGACCAGCATGAAGTGGTTTATTATATTCGTTTTTATATTAGCTACTGCTGTTAAATGTTCTGCTGTAAGTATTCTATAATCTTAAAAAAATAATTTAAATATCCTAATTCGTTGTCTAACTTGTATTCGATATTGTTTTAGTCTGACATAAAAGAGAAAAAGCAAATAAAGCAAGAAGCGGCAAGATTTACTAAATGTAATGAAAAATATGTGTCAGATTGTTACGCCATTACAAGACGGGTCAAAAGAGGAGAACCGTATAGAACCAATTGTTCAACAATATCTAAGCACGCATGGGGTAATAACGTGACGGTTAGTATTATAATATAGTATTTTTGGTACACTCAGAGGCTTTCGACAAGATGGACTTTACAAAAATCGGTTTTTGTAAGAAGAAAATCACAAAATAATAAACAGAAAGTTACTTTATACAATTTAGATAACCGGACTATACCTTGTATAAGAAATATAATGAGAAAGTAGCCATCCTCGATATTTTTACATGGTATAATATGGAGTTCCACAGGGCACATTATTGGGTCTTTTGTTATTTGAGTGATTTAATACATGTATATTAATGTATTTTTAGATGAGAGGCGAAATACTTATTGATGGACTAGCAATCGAGATAGTAAGAGGAGAAATATGCGACCTGTTGAAAATTGATTGGGTGTATAATTTCACGATGACTTATTCTAACGTTCGTCATTGTCCCTATAAAGCGGTAAGAATGATATTTATAGATATTAAGAAATAGATACATACATGTATAATATAACCTCACGTCTGTCTCCCATCTCCATGTCACTATGAAATGCCAATTGTTCTATTCTTACATACCTATTTCGCTTTGCTTCGCTTAGGAAATATAATAATTAATATTAAACTGTTACGATTGAATTGGGTAATTAAATGTTTTTTTTATTGTTTAATAATATTATAATTTATATTTTCAGGGATATTATGCATTTTTCAACATAGAACTTCCACCACGGAATATGCCTCAGAATATTCTGAAGTTAATAAAAGGACAATTTACGACAAATGTATATTTCTTACTTACAAAAACTGGTGAGACTATCATAGAAATGACCGTGACATTACGGACTTAGATTATTGTGTATTTTAATTTAAATTATTATTGCGTCTTATGTAAATGGTTGTTTTATTTCACTGTGATTAATGACTGGCCAGACTAGCTACTTTTGCGCGGTTTTACCCGCTCTGGTTCGGCTCTTAACGGTCGCATTATTTCACTGTCAACTAGCTACGTCTGCTAGTTGACAGTGAAATAATGATATTTAAAACAGACCAGTAGTTCCGGAGATTAGCGCATTCAAACAAACAAACACTTCAACTTTAAATAGTATATAAGATTTGTTAGATGTGGTGACAGCACTTCTACAGCAGCACTTTTTGAACATCAATCTCATACCTACCTGCAAAGCTATGAGACTATGCACGGCAATGCGGACGGCGAGTACGGGTGACTCGCCGCCCGGCTAGAACTAGACCCGAGCGTACGGCGCGTCGCGTTCCGAGCGCACCTCAAAGAATTATCAGATCACCACAAATGGGACCCAATAGAGCTGATGCCGATAACGGAGCCGTAGAGGAATGTTAAGTCCTCTGTCCCCAACCCGTTAGGGTTGCCGGGGCTAAGGTTCGAAGTGCAGGAGTAGGAACAGAGTGGTTTTTAGTCAGTAAGAGTCTGACATTCCCATTCGCCTCACCCAGGCGCGAGAAATCATAGGATGATTTAAAAAAAAGGTTGGTGACTATGGAAAATGAAACTCATCCTTTGAAGAGGAGGCCCAAAGTACAGTAGTGGACTATATCACCAGTATCAAAATAAACAGGAGTTATGAAATAATACAATCTTGTTACTGTGATTTGTAATATATTTATTTGTTACCACCATATCGTATAAGGTCGGCAGCTCGTTCAGCCATGGCCACAATCACGGAGTTTGGATACAAGGAGATCGGAGATGGAAGAACACTTGCGTCCACTACTCGTACACCTGATACTGACTTGACTCTGAAAGTAGATTGATGAAAAAATGTTTTATACATACCTGAGAAAACAGGGAATAATATTTGTTTGGATAAGGCTTTTTCACTATAACCATGAACGAACCAAAACGACGTATTTGATTAAGGTTAGCCGAATCCCAACTGTTTAAAGTATATGAACCTAACATTCCTTGGAAATATGAGAATAATCATAAGACTAAGTATCCTTGTTTTTAATTTACCGTAATTGTTCGTCCACAACTCTTCCACCAGCACAGGTACCTCCAGCATGATGTCCAGTCACCGCCACCTCCCTGATAATGCACCCCAAGTAAGCGTCTGGAGGACTTTGTATAGGCTTCGGTTTGGGCTTCTGTTCTTTTGCTTGTGACTGTTTTTTACTACCACTGTAAGTTAAATAAGATATTATACAGAAATGAAATATGTTTATTCGGCATAAGACATGCATGCTAGGAAAAAAAACACATATACATAGCAATAAAAAGGTTTAAAAATAGACAGAAAAAAAGATAATAAGGTAAATTATAAGACTAAAACAAGCTAATAATACAGGTGCAACATACTGCGCGATGTTGCTGTACAGAGCTTCTATGTAATATAATACCACAATAGATACATTAAGAACTTATTGAAAAGACCATGTCCAAAATGGCCCTGTACTATAAAGAGTATCTGTATATAAAATAATTAATCCCCTATTTTATTATATAAGTTGCAAACACTTCTGAATCACGGACTAGCTGTATTCCAAAATTTACTTTTAAAAGAATTTAATGCGATTAATAACATTAGATCGCCATCTTCGCCTAATGGCAAATGCCTCCGCGTAATGTAATAAATAAATAAATAAATCAGCAAGTCCAATGTCATGTCGTGTCGAAAGTGAAATAGGGATGTTCAATCAATTATAATCGATCATTGTGTTTTTTTCTTTATGAGCATTCATAAAGAAAAAAGAGTCATACTCCCATTTAAATAGGTAGTAAGAATAATATTATAGGTACAGTAATCAAAACTTCCTTATTTCTATACAATCATTCAAACATCCAACATTCGTTCAAATATTCAAATATTCGTTTAAATATTATTATGGTTAGATTATAACCTCAAAATCTGATATTTTTTTTAAATATATTTTTTCTGCTGCTAGTCCCCTATAAAAACAAGATCTTATAGGAGTCTACAAATGATAGAGAATACAATAAGTACATCATTATCCGATACTCTTGGCTCCAGGGTCAACAATACATGGACGCAGAGCAATGTCCTTTCGTGCTAAAGTAGACCTCAAAGACCTAGTCATCAGAATGAGATATTCACAACCGAATAATAATCTTTAGTTTAAAATACAATAAAGATATTAGAATTCACCAACTGCGGCACTATACCAACGAAGCAGTAGGTAGGTACCTACATTAAGAAAGTTATGAAGCAACTACAAAACTATGAAGTAACTCACAATTTCCTCTTCCTCATCACGGGTCCTCTCTGATCTTCTTTGCTGTACCTCCACAAGGATAAACATCGTTCAGGTCGAGGCCAGTGTATCCTTGCTCCGATGTCTTGGAATGGCTTGGTAGATACTAATTCTTCAGCTCTTCGCATCGCTGACAGAATTAAAAAAAAAAGAATAACTAAATGACGGTATAACTCAGTCCTAGTTCATGAATACATACCTATAGATTCAACAACATCGCTTTATTAGGATTGATATTATCGCTAAATTAAGGGGTTTATTACCTCCGGGAAGGATATTATAAGGACTAAAGAAGAATGATCATAATGAACAATGAACATAATGAATAGAATAAGTACATAATATATTAGATGATTATTTAGTTATTATTTATAAGTTAAATTGCTGCGCCCTAACAGGGTGATGTACTGTACTAGTAAGTAGTATAATACCGCAATGTATGTACATTTTGCAATAAATAAATAAATAAATAAAAAATAAAGCAATCAGATTTTAATGAGACAGATATTTAAAATACTTCAAAGATGAATTGTCAAGAAGAAGCTAGTACTTCCAATAGGTACTTGCCTTTCACCATACACTTGACATCGTAATATTGCTCCAAGTAGTTGGGATCTACAATAGGCGGCATAGAGGTGGTGGAGTCAGCGAGAGTGATGGTGCCTCTACTCCTCGGCTGCACGCAGGTCGACAGGAACATGAAGCCTTCCTTGTTGGTGTTATTGTAGAAAGGGAAGGTGTCACGGAATACCTAGGAACCATTAAACTCTGATAGAAAAGTACCTACAAATATTTTATGGATACGAGACATCTTTTGTTCAGTAAAGTTATTAGTCATAACCTACATAAAATAACATCACGCCTTTTATTCCTGAAGGGGTAGGCAGAGGTGCACATTACGGCACTTAATGTCACTGTACAATGTAACAGCCACGTTCCACTATTTATGTTATGAGTCCCATGTAATAGGGTTGAGCCTATTTGCAATATACCGGGCACAATTCTAGGCTCCGTGCTACTACTAAGTTTTTTGAGTAACCCAGTAATACTTTTCCCGACCCGGAGTCGCATTTGCGACCACTCGGCCAATGAGGCAGTCCAGTTGTTAGTTCTATTGTATTAAGATAGATCCGTAAGTAGATACTCCTTATTTGATTTGGTAGTTCAATGATCCGTTATTGTCTTTGTAGACCGAAAACTAAGCTACTTATTAATAAAGCCATACAAAGTGATGTTTGGGAAACAAAATCATATAGTTGAGGGATTGGCTTGACCAAGAAATATCATTTTTATCAAGTTTCTTTACTCATGAGAGAATGGGGTAGATGACTAATTTTTATTTTAATGTCCGTCTGGTAGATTATTTTAAAATATTACACACGTATTTTTTCTTTTCTCACAAAATTAAATGCTTTCGACGATATATTGATTTGAAATGTCGTGTGACGTCACAGCGTGCTACAAAATGTAGCACGTTGTGACGTAACTACCTCCCACTCTTAAACTTAATTGTATTTTATCCAAGTGTTGTAACTTTATACGTTTAATATTTTTTTATTATCTAACCGACGGACTAATTAGATTTTTAATTTTCATATCCTGGAAACTACCCTATTGTCAGCAAAGCGATAATTTATTAACAACTTGGTCAACTTGGTTATTTAGGTAACATTTTAGTTAACTCACTTGAGGCTTGTAGTTAGATAAATCTCTCAGCAGTCTCTCGCTAGCTGTGCCCATGGAGAACAGCATTACTGCAGACGTATTCTGGTACTCCACTCCCGATAAAGGAGGAAATGCTAGAGGTCCTAGAAATAATATTAAATGTAATTACATGTTACGGGAAAGATTCCTAGTTTCATAGTTTGTGAGTTTTTTTTTTATATTTGATGGGCCGACGTTTGGCTCTCGCGTAGTGGTCAGCGATGACGCCGCCTACTATGGAGCACGTCTGCCCATAAGCAACCTATTCACTCGGGTCTTGAAGACACTCAGGTTATACCTACCCTTCCGGAAACACAGACTCTGGCAAAGAATTCCACTCCTTAGCAGTACGCACAAGGAAGCTTGATGCGAAGCGCTTCGTGCGAGTGAGTGGGGCTTCTACCATGAATCGGTGACGCTTTGCCGATTGTTTTTCTTACCAGTGTTCTTCCAGAAGTACTCGAAAGCGGTTGTGAACGTAAATACTTTGGACAGTGTCACGCTGATCGGCCTCTGTATGCTGACGTATATCGGCATGTTCATGTGGTCGTGGAAGTTCCTGCCCACCTCCTTGTTTGCATACACCAGCTTTATTTTTAACCTAAAAATTGTACATCTTATTATTTTTTATTATTTATACGTTGTTGATCGAAGATTTATACGCAGACGTTCGGCCACTACCTCGCCTGGTAAGTAGTAAACGATGACGCGGCCTTCGATGGAGCACAATTATATAATGATACACCCTTTTTATTATCCTAGTTGTAGTGACGTCAGAGGTATGAATGTGATGGAGGCTAATGGAGTATGTAAGTAGTAAGGATCGTAGTAATATTCAAATTACCTATTTCAGTAAAATTAAAAGGAAAACATTGAAATGCTGAAAATTAAAATGTCCATCTTACGGTGGAGCCCCTTGATGAAGACGTTAGAAAGAAGTGGTCTTTACCTATTTATACATTCTTCTGCCATAGGACAATGGCGTAAATATATGTAGGTTATTTATTACCAAATTATAAAAAGAACATAGGTACCGTTTTAACAGCTCAGGTGGTCCGATACCAGACAACATCAACAGCTGCGGAGACTTTATAGCACCGGCCGCCACTATGATCTCCTTGTTCGCGAATATATTGTCCAGCTCGCGGTGGTTTTGGAGAATGTATAATGACGACGCTGTCATGTTGATGAAACGAATCTGAAAAAAAATGAACAGTGGGAAGATACAGGCAGAAAAGTCTACTAAGTGGAAAAGATCTTTCTATACTTCAAATGAAATTGTATATAGGATCGACTTACCGACACAGCTTGTGTTTTCAATAACACATGAAGATTCTTTCTGCCCAAAACTGGTTTTAAATAAGCGTTCAGCGTGGAATGTCGAGTGCCATCTTTGATAGTCGCTGTTGGTCTTCTGAAGATGTTCTTCTTGGAGTGCATGGACGCCAGTCTGAAGATACTCATCAGCTCGTTGTCATCGTCAATTTGTTTCAATTTCATAGGCACCTGATGAAAATTATGGGATATTGAGTAGGTTCTTATAAGATGCACTAGGTACTTACCTAAATGTATGTAGGTAAGTAGATGGTACATGATATCATCATGTACTGTCCCAGGGTATGGTATTATTCTATGCAGAAATTAATTAGGTAAAGTTTATATCGCACACTATTATCTTAGTGCGCTCAGATTATTGCGTTCTTCATTATCACCCTGGATAAGGTCTTACCTTAGCGGCAGGACAGTCTCCGTCTATCGCACAATGTCCGGAATCAAATTCACTCCTCACAGTCCCAAAAGCTTTGATAAAATACGGTTTCAAATCTCTAAAGGTCCATCCTTTGAAGCCGAGTTGTGCCCATCTGTCATAGTCTCCGGGCAGGCCAGAGCCGTGAAGAAGAAAGTTGATCTGGCCTGAGCCTCCGAGTCCTTTACCACGCGGAATGAATTGGGACTGGAAGATAAAGTTTAGTCTTGATAAAGTTCGAAAATAATTAAAATAATTCGACAAATTGAAATAGGTTGATGCCCTGGTACCTATCAACGCCTTCCTAGAATTATTTTCTCTCCACATTAGGGGTATCTACAGTGCAGATACGTGGGTAACTGGTTGCCCACGTATCTACAAACCTGGTTGGGTGGTTGCAAACCATATTGTTGGATATCGGTAATCGTCAAATCTTTAAGTCTAAATAAAACAGTAAAAAGGTGGTAAGGCCCTAGTAAATAACAATGTCTTTCAAACTTTTATCGTTCTCTTTACTGATGGTACACATATCGTTTACAGGGATAAGGAAGTACTTAAGTACCTAATTAGTTACATTTTTTTGTTACCTGTCCCCAAAGTCCAAAAGACGAATACTTCTGCGATTTAGTCCTCACAGACCAGTCGTCAGGTCCTTGTTGTGCTGCTGTGGGAGTCAATGGAATCCTGGTGAAGTAGCCCATGTGGTCCCCGGCTTCCACTAGTAGCACCTTGGTGTTTGGGTCCTCGCTGAGACGGGAAGCGAGCACGCAACCCGCTGTGCCAGCTCCGACTGAAATAATAATAGACACATGGAAGGTCCAAGTTGTTGCTGGGTAATAGGATTATGTTTCAATCGCGTAATAATTATAAGTGAGATATTCGCATGTGTCAGATTTAAGTACAATGTTCATTATTTTAATAAATTAAACTTCTTATACGATATGGACATAACATAACATCACGCCTTTTATCCCCGAAGGGGTAGGGGTAGGGTGTACATTATGCCACTGTACAATGTAACACCCACTTATCACTATTTATGTTATGAGTCCCATGTTATGGGGGTGTCCCATGTTATGGGTTGCCATATACCGGGCACAATTCCAGACTCCATGCTACTACTGTGATTTTTTTTTGAAATACCCAGTAATACTTTGCCCGACCCGTGAATCGAACCCGAGACCCCTTGCCCGGCAGTCGCACTTGCGACCACTCGACTAATGAGGCAGAACGATATGGACAATATATTTTATCGATATTTAATCTCGTTAAGGCTCTATACAAAAATAGGTACTCACCAATAATGTAATCATATCTTTTCTGCGGTTTAATAATAATACTTGTATACACATTCACATATTTTTGATACACTATATATGACACACAAGCTAGTAAAAGTCCAAATAAGTAGGAGTATAAAGCCATTATTTATAAAATGTACACCTTTTAAAAATTTTATAGCAACGATTTTCTATGAGACATTTTTGCACTTCATATACAATTAGGCGTGATAAACTGTGAACACTATTTATAATTAGACAATTAAAACTCGTGTAGAAATGAAGGGATTTCAACGCGGGAAGTCCGATAGTTCCGTAGTTTGATTTCTATAATGTTATTTAATTCTTACGTTGCCTGGTTTAATTGAATTAGGCAGGGGTAGTAAACCATAAGCGTTAACCACAGATATTTGATATTTTGAAACATAAATTCATGATGAAAGACGTGTATTGCAGATTTATATTATTTTAATCATCTGGATTATACAAATGATCTTCAACAAGCGCAGGTTCATTGGGTATAATTGATGTTATACGCGTAATTTAGGGTACTTACCTACTTAAAATGGTATTAGGTCGAGTTCTGGAAACTCAGATTTTTACTAGGTAAAGATTCTGAATAATTCTTTTTAAGGGTGGGAAGAAAATCGTTCATGAAAATGTCCGACCACATAAATTTTACTACATGAATATATTGACCGCTCACTAGTACGAATGTTGGGACTACCTGGCCACTAAGAGGATTAGTCTGCGATACCCACAATACGGCGGGAAATCGATACATCTTTTATGTTACGACATCCAACATGTCATGTTAATGACCGCTGTGCCTTGTATGATAGTATAGTATTCTTTTTAAGGAAGGAAAATTATCGAATGACTGCTCCCGCCTGGGTGAGACGGGAGGGAGTGTCAGACTCTTACTGACTAAGACCACCCCGTTCCTACTCCTGCACTTCGAGCCGGAGCTCCGGTAACCCGTTAGGTTCTCCACGACATGAAAGTATAGCATAGGTCATAAACTTTAATACTATTTGCAGCGAAGGGACCTTTTGAAATCTAAATTACATATTTCATGGTCTCTGTAGTTTTTGCCAATCTCTAATCGAGAAAACTATGTGTATGTTATATTTGTAAAGGTATCTACATATGTAAATACATACATATATAATACCCGACCTAAAGAGAAATAGCAATAGGAATGAAATAAAATACATTAGTAGCTTAAAATTTAATTTATTTACAAAGTAATAATCGCTTGATTACTACATCTTTTTACTCAGTAACCTTTGACGTGTTTACAAAGTAAAAAGAAACTAAAACTAACTTACATAAATATTAAAAAAGAAACTTATACTAAGAAATGAAATACCATTGAGTTGTGGATGTTCATTTTGCACACAAGTAAATTAAAGATATGAAACTAAAACTTAACTAACTTACCTGTGCAATAAACCACAAAAATATGTCCAATCAAACTGTAATATAATTATACTAAAAGTCACAATTGTATAATTAAACAAATACTGTGTATCATTGTAATGATAACATTTAATTCAATCCATATTAGTTGCATCAATAAGGAGGAAATGTGGAGGTTTCTCAGATAGATATTTCCAAGATGGCGTAGCGAGCTGCGCACGTACGAGGTAGCAGCAAAACGTAACTCGAAAGGAGCACATCAAAATCTACAAAATTGCCAATTTTCAACATTTCCAGAAAACATTCCAGGCAGAACTACAAATTTACTGAATAATTCAAAGAAATTACAAATAGTTTTACAATGATTACTAGTTACTATTAATCAGTCAGGGTTGTCAGTAAGATCCTCATTCAATTATTTTAAGTTATATTTGCAATAACAGATAATGTAACTTATAACAGATACAGACCATATTCATCATCAAAACGAATAACTTTCAGTGCACAAAATAAATCAGTCAATTTGACATAATGTTTGTATTAAAATTATTATAATTCTATATCTCCACCATCTTCCACCATTTCTCCAGTAGCGGGCACCATGACAGGAGCCTCGATGACTTGTTTGCGGCCCTTAGCATCAACAACCTCAATAGTTTCGGGTTCAATATCCATCTCGGTTTCTTCTTCAAGTTGTCTCTGTTTGAGGCCAGCTGCTGGTGATCTGTAAAAATAAAGAAAAATGTGTAAATAATATGTAGTTGTAGGTATTTTAAAGGATCAATATAGACACTATGAGACATTTAATTACACTATTCTGTACTTGGTTTAGTTGTTGATAGTATATGCCAATATCAATGTGCAGTTTGTAAAAAAAAAAACTAAGGTAAAATAACTACTGGCCACACTAGAATATATTTCAAGCTATTACTGCTACAGGCTTCTAACCATTTAAATAAAAAAAAAACGCAGATTTACAAAATTACAGGTCTGATACATGATAATTGTGTCACTGTATTGTTCTTCAATTACACAATTAACACAAATGTTTTGAAACATGTTGCTAAAACAAAACAGTTATTTTCATGATATTTGTTTCTATGTGTTATTATTTTATTATACTTTAAATTAGTTTCAGTTTATTTTTATTTTTTTAGTTATTATGCCTCATCACATAGGGTATGATAGGCCAACTTAATGCCGCAGGCATTTTCTCCCAGTCTGACCTTTGGGTGATGCAGAGAAGAGTAATTGGTAGGTACAAGACGCAAACCACTATATTTACACATGTATTAAACCAAAAGCTGCTAGAGAAATTGAAAGTAATATGCCTATGTATTTCAAAAACTTCTACATGTTACAGTTTTGTACAAGGGTTATTTTAACTTTCAACAACTTTAATTTCCAGTAACATTAACTCGTCGAGTACCGGTTTTATAGACACAATTAAAGAACAATAGGTCGCGGTCACCGGTGACCGCTTGGTGTTTGACAGATTAATCTCCCTAAACAGCTGACACATAATAGCTCAAAACTAGACATAGGGAAGCATCACAAAACACATTATAAAAGTTTTAAAGTCTAACAAGTATCGTAAAAACTCTACACATGTAACAATTTCAGAAGGGTAAACAAAATACTTAACAAGTTTAAATTATAGGTATATAATATTTCTACCCATTTAGTGGTATACCTCCCTATTTTGCTATGGATAGTCAAAATTAGAATAGATACATTACAATAAATATTTATAAAACTTACTTGATAAGTGAGATATCCCGCTGAACTTCTCTGACATCTCGCTGCCATTCCACTTCTCGACCCTTCCTAAGCCTCTGCATAATATGGTTGTTACTTCTCCTCTGTCTAATCTCTTCAACCTTCTTCATGGCTTCAATAGTCTTTGCCCATAATTCTCTTCTGTACTTAACAGGGGTATTTCTGCGCTTCTCAAATTCGAAGGATGGGTCGATAGCCAAGTCCTTACCAGCGGTCTTACGGTAGGCTTTAGTCCATTTAGTTTTACGTGGGTTCTTCTTCTTCTTGAATGCAGCATGGCATTTTGATCGGCAGAATCTAAAAATCTAAAGGCGAATAGGTTAGTGGCGCAATTTGTGAAATTACGTGAAATATTTGTGGGAGATTATATATTATTTTGGCTTACCTTACAATCATTTCTGACGAATTGAATTCCGTGTCCAGGATAAATCCTGGACGAGCAAAAATAACATGTTTCTATACGCATTTTGGCACGTGCTGCTTTATTTGATAGCAGGCCTAGAAAAGGACGACATCAATAAGGCAAACGTCACTTTACTGTCAAGGTTTGACAGATTGGAATCAGCGTGTTGCTAGTTTTTAATATTTCTGTTTTATTTCGTTCGTCAGTAATTAATGAAACATAACTTTGTTAATTTTTATAATGCTATTATGTTTCATAACATAAATAACATCGTAGTTGTACACTTTTGATATTATATAACACAACATGTTATGTATGTTGTGATACTAGATGTCGCTGTAACGTGACATAAGTTACTTCTACTATTAGGCGATAGATGTCACTACTAAGTAGAATAAAACATAATGGAAGTCAAGATGTTACCTTTCGACGCTAGATGTCACTGTGAGTCTTATATTTTAGTTCTGATCTCTCTTGGTGATTTTTTTCTATTTACATTATTATCACAATTATTTTTAAAATATCTATGTTGTAAATAAGAATGTTGTAAATTAGAATTCCAGATACACATAGGGACTGTAGAAGAAAGGTAGATCATTAACCTTCTAAACTGAGCGATTAATCCACCTACCTACCATGCCTTCTTTTATAGAGGAGGTACATTGTCTGGCAGTGGACTTGATAACCTGCCTACCTGCCTGCCTGCTGAGTATGGATTTCACTTGCCTAGATAAATCTCATGATGTCAAAGGTAACTACTTTGTTTCTTACTACCATAAGAACATTATTTAAAGCTGATTGAAATAAATTATGTAAAAAAATGTCAACGGAATGAGTCACCATACAAGTAACAATAGGTACCCTGCGACGTATGACCTGCTGTACAATCCAGACTTTATTAAAACAGTTTGTGATGCTAATGATGGCCGCCGGTGGTCCCCGCATGCAGGCCACGTTTCCTAATGAGATGAGCGTCGTGCACAGATTCACCATCGCCTCATTACCATCCCAAGACCATCATTACCAAATCATCATTCCCAATTTACACACGATCTGAATTTTTATAATGCGAATTAGTTTAGGTAAATTCTAATGTGCCATTATGTTTTATGGGTATTTAATTTACTTTTTATTGGTTACGTGAGTTCTAAGCGCTTCGTTGAGTCATCCAAGAAGGATATTCTGGGTGGTACAATGTCTAATGTTGCCATAAATTAGAAAAAGTACGTGTTTGTTACCCACAAACAATTGCGTATTTTAGAGGTTTTATGGGAGTGTCTAAATGTACCTACCTAAATTCTTTGTTTGAAGTAAGTAAATCGGGGATATATGTGTGCCTTATTTTTGACCGATATCTACAACAAAAGTATAATGATGTTTATGATCAACACTGGCAAGACCAGAAGCTGATCTTAGGATCTTTCTTTCACATCATCATCATCATATCAGCCACAAGATATTCAATACTGGAGATAGGTCTCTTCTAACTATTTATCGAATTGGTTGGCTAGAAGCGTTAACGCCTGCTAAACGTTAAACACCGCTTAGCTCAACAGTTATAGATACCTACCAAAGTTTCATTAAAGAGATCTTTGAGATGGATAACTGTAAGGCCGATAGTGACAATATTTTAATTCAATAAAAAAAAACCCACGCATGACGCTTATTTAAGTAAGTCTACCACCAGTCCACTATCCACAGTTTGTTATAAGTGAGACAGATTTTTAAACGGTTTAGTCAAACCAATACTGGAAATTCCATAAACGGAGTTTCGTTCATTGATGTAGTTACTGATGGCCCGAAGGCAGGCGCGGTCGGAGGGACATATTTCAAAGGCAGGAATGCGGGAGGCCATTCATCCAATTCCCACAAGTGCAGCTAAAAGTTACAGCTTCATTACAATTCGGTGCACATCGCATGCAAACACAACGAACGTGCGATTTTTTTCACCAACACTGTTCGTGCCCGTCGCGCGGTACTACCACCATGATCCAGTGCCGGATACATTTGTTTTAAACAATATTGTACGCTAGTTATTTCCGCGCGATTGCACCCGCTCTGCTCGGCTCCTACTGGTTGTAGAGTGGTGTTTTATAGCCTATAGCCTTCTTCGATAAATGGACTATCCAACACAAAGAGGTCCTGAGATTTACGTGTTGAAACAAACAAACTAAGAAACTCTTCAGCTTCATATATATAAAAAATAAGATTTTTCTTTATTCTTTGGGTAATCTTAAAAATGAATTTCCGTTCGTTAGTGTCGCTACACCTCGAGAACAGCTGAACCGATTTGGAAAATTCATTTGAAATATTCGTTTGAATATTAGTCCAAAGAAGGTTTAAACGATGAGAATAAAAATTGGCGCAGTACGAAGTTTGCCGGGTCAACTATAGTATTCCATTTCACAATATTGTGCCTGAAAAGCTAGGCACGAGACTTAACTGACTCACTCACCCCTAGGTAGAATATAGATTAGTTAGACAATAGGTACATTACATAAATCTTTTCAATTAAACTTTCCCTAAAGTCAAGAATGAATTTATCTATTCATATTTTAATCAACTTTATACCATCAAATCAGACAGTTTCCTAGTTTCGACTGGACATTAGACAAAGCAAGTAAACCAATGAAGTTATACTATCGTGTTTGACTGGCTTCGCTTAAAGGTAATAAAATCTAGCTGGATGTAATTGCTTGAACGGGAGTGTAAAGTTCTTGTATCTGGTCATTTCACAGATAGTGTGTGGGTTAGATATACGCTATTCGTAGATACAAATCGTAACAGTTTTCTGTACAACTGACTGCTTATAAAGGCTATATTTACGTGCACGTGCACGTGTTTCATCTCTGAACTGAATCGTAGTGAGATTACTGTACAACGTGTTGTTGTCTAAGCTTACTGACTTACTAGTGGTAGCAGTCGGCTTGGCTTGTCTAAGTATGATTGGCCTATATATGACTTTTCTAAGTAATGTGAATTCTGGTCATTCTCTCAATATCCAGGATATTGAATTAATTATCAAAATCCACAAGATTCCATATTTATTTTTATAAGTTCTGTCAATTGGTTTCACTGATTTTATCGACAAAGCGAGCGTAACACTTTATAGGTAGTCTAGTCATAATTCTGTTAGCCCTGAATCCTTCTAACAGTTATGACTTGACTTATACAATATAATTGAAAAAAAAATAAAACACTTATTTTGCTTTTTAAAAACGACTTCTATATCAAGGTCACACTAGTCCAAAACGATACGTAACATACCTACATAGATGTTAAAATAAAGGATCGTCAGTATTCTTCCTAAAATCGTCGAACCTTTGGTCACACGACATGCATGTAAAAATCTGTCCGTCTGTGTGTCGGTGGGTGATAAACGAGGTGACATGGAGAAACCGTCACGAGTCGCTTCATGATTACAAGTTACAAGTATTTCTCATTTATAATGAGAATCGCGTCCCAACTGTTGTTGCATTTCGTTCCTTTTTTGACACGTTGCGAATTAATTTTGTCCTGGTGTCGATAAGTTCTGTTGGGCGTTTGTCAATGGGATGACTATTAGTTCAACTCTCAGTAGGTACTAGGTATGTATGTGTTTTTCTTATGTCATTTACCTGTTAGTGCGGTGGCTGTGTCGGCTGCCGCGTAACGTGTGTGATCCACAAATTGTTGTTCCGGGTCTGGGTGTCATGTGCATGTGATCTTGTATGTTTGTTATAGCACGCATGATACAGGAGTAAATCGCAGTGTGGGGCAATGTTTTCTTTAAAAAAATCTTATATATAGATGCATAGAATGAGTGAAATAAGTAAATAATGGTACTTACTTAAATCTTTGAAGGTTACGAGTAAAAACCTTTATTTGAAAAACAATATCTTTAGGTAAACTTCACTTCGATACCTAGTTCATAATCGATAAATTCTGCAACTAAAACACTCCGTAAATTTTCATCAACAACAAAATAAATAAGCATTGAACTATCAAAGAAACTATTTAAACATTTTCAAATAATTCATAAATGTAACGTGGTGAATGTAGACAGCGCCACCTGTTGGCGTCGTGAGACAACTACGTAACGTCTGTGTCGTGTGATCGTGTCGTGTCGTGTACATCACACGACAAATGCGACAAGAGCATGGTGTTACAGGCTCGTCGACAGCGTTTGAGGGTTATGTATGAGCTGTAACGTTGAATCATGTTATTTATATCCCCATATGTACCCCTATATATATTACCATCTTAGTAGATGCATAGTGTTAGATAATTATAGTTGAATGAATGTAGCATTGAAGTTCTGTGAACTAACGTAGGTAATGCACCATACCATCTAAGTATGTCCTAGTATGTAGGTACCAGTATAATATACTATAATCTATTTGATTTAGGATGTTTCTGGGTACTTATTGAGGGGATCGGCATATTATTTATATTGTTTTGAATTGTGTCCTATATTGAACAAAACACTCGGTCTTCAGAAAATACCAAAAATTATTCTAAAAGCATGCTCTTCAGAAAATATAAAAAACTAGCTTTTACTAGCTTAGCTCGCGTCACAAAAGGATAAAAAGTAGTCTATGTGACATATACCAATACACACAGCGCCATCTATACCAATACTTTTGTTTTTCCTCGAGAATATAAATTTTTTCCGGGTTAAAAAGTACCCTATTATTTAATCCGGACTTCTAACTTTACGTCTGCAAAAAATCAAAGCAATCGGTTTAGTAGTTACGGCGTGAAAGTGGAACAAACAAACAAACAAACAAACTCACTTTCCGATTTATAATATTATTAAGTAAGGATAAGCAACATGATCGTCCATGCATGATGTAGCTATCCATTAAAATTAACACATTTTTAATGTAAGCACGTCACGGTATGCGATATTATTTCAGCACTTCGTCCTTATTAATTTATAATTAGGTGACAGCTTAAAACGAAACCCATGTCGTACATACAGATATTATCTCGCAAGATTGCATATTAGCATTTAGTTTGCGCCGGCGCACCGCAGATATTCAACTGGAAAATATTATATAGTGGCAGAGAGTGTCAATCAG